TCGACCACTCTTAACATGTGAAAAAGGGGAGCATAGATCTTCAATAGCTTGTTTACAGATTATCACCAACTCTCACATAGGACAATAGGCTCTACTTTTTCTACCTCTTGCGGCCTTAAAATGCTTGCTTTTCCTCCATTCTTCATCAGAAAACATGTCTTAGCTTCGGCTTCTTCTCATGAACACTCCGTATGGTCAAGAATGCAATGGCGAAGCGAGTGACTCCGGGTCAAACAATCTCCCCCATCTCACACATGCGACGCATCATGTTCAAGATATTATGGTGACTGTAGATGAAGACGATAAGGGCCTTCGCTTTTTTAATAGTTGCTTTAAAGGTTGGCAACTTCCTAATGACCTCAAACTTCAGGTGAATAGTATGAGTTGTACAACTGGTCAAAAAGATATTCGGCCTCTTCTCCTTCAATTTCTTCTTCACCGTCATATTTGCAGAAGCATTATCTGGGATAACTTGGATGACCTTCTGTGGTCCAATCTCCTCAATGCATGCATCCACCCACTCAAAAATGTATTCCTCCATGCGTGAGTCCCCGGAGTACTCAATCGACTTGTAGAAAGTCGTGCCTAGCCTGCTATAGATGTATAGGTTCATGATTGATCGCGTCTTCCTATCTGACCAAGCATCTATCATGATAGGACAATCACTCTTCCCCCACTCATGCTCCTTCAACGAGTCCCTAGTCTCATTCACAGCACCTCTCAACAATGGCTCCCTCAACATATACATGCTAGGTGGTTAGTAAGTACATCCATAATCCCCAATAGCGCTGCACATACGCATAAAAGAGTAGGTAGAGAGGATATGAACAGAGATGTTATTATTATATGCCCATCTAGCAACATGCTTGTGGACCTAATCTCTCTTCTTCGTATAGGTTTTCTTCACTCCAGTCTAAATCGTCTTTCCCTTCAGTCTCTTTGCTAGCTTAGGATCACTAGCAATATAAGCATCCATCGGCCCAATGGTCGGCTCCCTAGACCTCTTTGAAGATCTGTCCGTTTGTATGTGTAAAAGAAACAATTTTCTCCCCTTCAGTAGCCGTTGGATCCGGCTTGTCGAACTGTGCTTCATCTTGCAACTCCATGATATGCATCTCTTTCAGTTTTTTCCTCCTGGAATTAGCATCCATAGCTTCTTGGACCTTCTTCCTATCAGCAGCCGAAATCTTAAAGCACTTTATGTAACTGTTTCTCTGCCAGCAAGATATTGCTTCAATCTAAAGACCCCCATTTCATGTTGTGCGAGCACAATTTACATTGCACCAAGCACAAATCATTTGGATCCGGAAGAAGCCCAAACTCCCAATCGACATCTCACAAGTTTCTTTTATATTTCACTTGGGCTTTCGCGGGAATAGAGGTGGAACCCGTAGATTCTTTAGTAGGAATATCTGGCATTCTATATCATAACAATTCAACAAACAAACCATTCATAGATCAAATCATCAAATCATCAAATCATGATAAATAAAAGATTCAAATTAACTAAAATTAACTAAGATTAAACTAAATTTAACTAAAATTGTATAAGATTTAACTAAAATTAACTAAATTTGAACAAGATTAAACTAAAATTAACTAATTAAACTAATTAATTAAATTAAATTAACTAAATTAACTAAATTAACTAATTAATTTAACTAAAATTGAACAAGATTAAACTACAATTAACTAAAATTAACTAAAACTAATTAAAACTAAACTAACTTAATTAAACTAAATTGAACAAAATCAACTATTTAAATTTAAAAAATAGTTAATGAGTAAAATTTTGGTCTAAAACATTAAATAAGCTAAAAAAACAATTTAAAAATAAAATGTTTGAAATTTTACTTGAGGGTCAGCGGGAGAAGGAACGACGGCGACGGGTTATGGACCGACGACAGTGGTGGGAGACGACTGGCGGGAGAGGCTCCGGTGACGACGAGAGGGGGCACGACGGTGGCGGGAGTGGGAGAGAGATTGAGAGAGTGAGAGAGGGTGAGACTGACTGTGAGACAGAGAGGGAGAGAGAGAAAGACAGAGTTTGTTTTGTATACGAGTTGTGGGTTCGGATAACAGGTTTAGTTTTTTGGTTTTAAATTTTTTTATGCTCAAAAAGCTAGGCGCCGTCTAGGCACCGTCTAGATGGAATGGCCGCCTAGATTGGCCGCTCTGGCCAAAAATAGGCGACTGTAGGTCTGCCTACACCTAGACGGATGCCTAGGCATCGGCCTAAGATGCTTTTTAGAACATTGGGCACGAGGAAGCTGAGTATGAAGATCACACAGGGAAGGACTATCATATGTCGCCAAAATATGAGAGCGAACACCATCAAGATACTGACGTTCCCAAGAGTAAGAACAGACAATAGGGCTTCTTGATGTTTTTGTTGGGCAGCAGGATCCGGAGAGTATGGCTGATAAATCTTCCACTCTTCCAAATATTGAGTGAATTTAGAGAGAGAAGCATGTATGTCATCACCTTGCTTGGTCTCAACAGCCTCCCTGAATATATCATTCACTTTTGCATGTTGTTAGTAGAGGAGTACATCTGATGGAGTGTCCCAAATAGGCTTCGCGGTATCAAGAAAGACAACAGATTGATGGATAGACTTATCCATAGAATTTGTCATCAAATTTATAATCAAGGCATCTTCACGATCCCATTTTACAAACTTGGAATCCTTCGAGTCTGGAGGATTATCGGTGATATGATCTAGCATCTTCTTCTCCTTAAGGAAGCAAGTGATAGAGCGGGACCATGTCATGTAATTATTAGGACCAGTAAGATTCTCTATAGTGATGCGATGAGTCTCGACCTTCAAATATGAAAGACTAGATGTGAAGGAGGAAGAAGTGGCCAGTAAAAAGTAGCAAAGTTTACTGAGCAAAGCAAAGATTTGAAAGCAGATCTAGATAACATCTGTAAGATTGTGACAGAGAATTACCACATCCAATAGTTTACAGGTTCCATAGCTAAGGATCCATGGTGAAGACAGGTTTGGAGAAGGTTGAAGATGCTGTTTTGGAGAAGGGTCCACAGATCTGAAAATGCTCATTGGCGAGATGTTGAAGCTGGTTGTGGTGATTGAGGTGAAGGTGGAGGCAATTGATG